GCCCTGTCATCCATCCGGCCGCCAGAGATAACAAGCCCCCGCCCGCCCCTGCCGTGGCTTCCTGTCGCACGAGGAAAATGAAAACGGCTCCAAAGCGCCTTGGCCATTCGGGCGAATTTATTTCGCTGTCAGCCGCGGCAGGCTCTGTCGCCTGTTCCCGGCTAATTAGAGCGGGGGGTGGGGCAGGCGTTGATGGGCTGGGCACAGGGGGCCATGAGTCGGGGCGACGACGGGAGGAGGGGGAGGGGCCCGGCGAGGAGCCCGCTGTCCCCCCGCAGAGCAGGTGTTGCTTGCCATCGCCCCACGGGGACCCCCGTGTGCAGCTGGAACGGACGCTGCGGTGCTTTGCCCGCCCTGTGTCCCCTTTTGACTTCCACGAAGCAGGACGAGTCCTCTTTCCATCTGGGCAATTCCCTGTCCCCACCCCGTGCAGCCGTGGCGGGCCACCGGTGCCCAGGGGCTGGCGCGTGGCCCCCGACTGGCCCAGGGAACCCGCTCTTTCCGGGACGCCCGGCTCTGCAGTAGGGAGCGGCCGGAGTCGTCGGGGGACATGTGGCCCGCGGTCGGTCTCCCTGCCGAGCAAATAAAGCCCCGTCTCCAGCCCAGTCAGTTCGAGGCGGGTTCTGTTGTTTGCAACAAGCAGAGTCTGAGGAGGCCTCCTCTGGCCTGGGCCTCGCGGCGGCTGTAGGTTCGAATCCCGCCTGTGACTTCAGGAGAGATCCAGGTGGGGAAGGGGCTGGAAGAGGGGGGCGCGGAGGCCCGGGAAGGGCGAGCAGATGCCGCTGGGTCAGATGAACATCAGGGACAACGGGGAAATGAAGTATCTCACTTAGGGGTCCAAAGGTGTGCCGGAAGTCTTTTCTTTTTTTGTGTGTGTGTGGGGGGACAGAGTCTGGCTCTGTCGCCCTGGCTAGAGTGCCGCGGCGTCAGCCTCGCTCACAGCAACCTCCAACTCCTGGGCTCAAGCGATCCTCCTGCCTCAGCCTCCTGAGTAGCTGGGACTACAGGGGCTACATCACCACGCCCAGCCCATTTTTAAAAAGTTTTTTGTAGAGATGGGGGTCTTGCTATGTTGTCCAGGCTGATCTCCAACTCCTGGGCTCAAGCGAGCCTCCTGCCTCAACCTCCCGAGTAGCTGGGACTACAGGGGCTGCATCACCACACCCAGCCCATGTTTAAAAAATTCTTTATAGAGATGGGGTCTTGCTATGTTGTCCAGGCTGATCTCCAACTCCTAGGCTCAAGCAAGCCTCCCGCCTCAGCCTCCCGAGTAGCTGGGACTACAGGCATGCGCCACCATGCCCGGCTAATTTTTTCTATGTATTTTTAGTTATTTGGCCAATTTCTTTCTACTTTTAGTAGAGACGGGGTCTCGCTCTTGCCCAGGCTGGTCTCGAACTCCTGACCTCGAGTGATCCTCCTGCCTCGGCCTCCCAGAGTGCTGGGATCGCAGGCGTGAGCCACCGCGCCCGGCCCATTTCTGCTGTTTTTATCTACTCTCCCAGATGCCCCGTGAGCTCCCTGAGACAGGGAACCGTTCACGTTTGTGTCGCTCACTCACTCGTTCGTAGATTTCCTCACTCATTTATTCACTGCTTAATGCGTCCATCCCTGCATTCAGCCAGTCGCTCCGAGCAGTATTATCCTTAAAAGGTTCCTGGCCTCCCGTTGACCACATATAAATGGGACCAGGAAAATGACCCATCTCTTGAAGTCCAGGTCAGATGTGTTCACGGAGGCTGCGCTGAGGCCCATGACCCTGGCCTTGACCTCAATTTGTCTCCTGAACTTGGAGTCGCTGTGAATAGTAATAAATAGTAGAAGCCGCCTGTACACATGGGAATAAGACTTTCTTTCAAGTTTCTTGAGAGAATGATTTGTGATCATGTAGAAAACATTTCTGGTCTGGGCGCGGTGGCTCACACCTGTGATCCCAGCACTCTGGGAGGCCGAGGAGGGAGGATCGCTCGAGGTCAGGAGTTTGAGACCAGCCTGAGCAAGAATGAGACCCCGTCTCTACTAAAAATAGAAAGAAATTAGCTGGACAACTAAAAATATATAGAACAAATTAGCCGGGCATGATGGTGCATGCCTGTAGTCCCAGCTACTCGGGAGGCCGAGGTGGGAGGATCGCTCAAGGTCAGGAGTTCGATACCAGCCTCAGCAAGAGCGAGACCCCTGTCTCTACTAAAAAAAAAAAAAATAGAAAGAAATTGGCCAAACAACTAAATATAGAAAAAATTAGCCGGGCATGGTGGCGCATGCCTGTAGTCCCAGCTACTCGGGAGGCTGAGGCAGGAGGATCGCTCGAGCCCAGGAGTCTGAGGTTGCTGTGAGCGAGGCTGATGCCACGGCACTCTAGCCCGGGCGACAGAGCCAGACTCTGTCTCGAAAAACAAAACAAAACAATAAGAGTGTGTCTGCTCATGGTCTGGAGAGAAGGAGAATATTTCAGGTCAGGGTCCTGCGGGGAAGTACACAGTCTCCCCAGATTGGATGGTTTGAGGATCATCCCCTAAGAGGACGATTAATGGAAGTCCGGGCAGCGTGGACAAGGGATCGTGCGGT